TTTAGAAAGTTACTAATAGCACAGGTAAATTTTGAGAAAGTTTACAGTTAAAGGAAGATAATATTTTTAGAATTAAAAGTGTATTGCTACTAATATTCACAACCTTAACAAACATAAAGCATAATCTAAACACTTGCTATCATAAAATATATTGAGTATTATCAAAAAAAATCACATAACATTTTTAACACAACCTGAACATTAGCTTGCATATATCAATCTATTTAACAAAACTAACTACACAACAATTGTCTTTCATTGGCACATGATATCATTTAAAAAAAAGGAATTATTCAAAACCTAAACATTAATCTATATTTATGCAAAACTAACAAATATTGACACATGATGTAAAAGTTCTACTGATTTTTGTAAAAATACTGTTTAACTTTAAAATGGAATTTTCGCATTTAAAAAAAGTCATCAAATTAGGAATGTTTGTTATCAAAATACATGAAATGGATTTCTTTTGTCAAAAAACCTGAAAAGAACCTGAACATCAACTATCATTGACACATATTGAATACAATCAACAAGACATATCTTGAGTATTGTTAACTATCATTGGCACATTCTAACAACTATTGAGATAGATTATAAAAATAAACTTGAAGCAACAACAGACATCTTGAGTATTGTTAACTATCATTGGCACATATTAAATGTAATCAACAAGCATATACTCTACTATATACATTTATGAACTGACATGGAATGATAAAAGGTATGAAATATGTTTGGAATAAAAGTTTGTCTTTACAAATTTCACAACAGTCCAAGGGAGATAATTGTATTTTAAACTGACTCAAAATAACTGTATAACAACCTAAACATCTGATATGACCTTTTCCTGAGTAATTTGATGTAAGTAAACAAGAAATATTATTTTTTCTAAAATTATCACAACCTGAATTGATAGCAGATATGTTGAGTATTATTAATTAATATTGATACATTTAAAAAGTAAATACTCTACATATATACAAACAAATAGTCAAAAGTTAAAAAAGTCATGGATTTACAAAGCACCAATAACATTTGCATGAACTGTTATTTGTATTCACAACCTATACTTTTGCAGAAAGGTATTGACATGTAAAAGTTTATGGATTTACAAAGCACCAATAACATTTGTATGAACTGTTATTTATAAAGAGACCAAATTATTATCGAAAATGAAACAAACAAAAATTCTAAAATATTTTAGCTTAATCTTTAGACACTTGAAAACTTGATCATTGTCAAAACAATATATTTAGTCACTTTTTATTCTTCTTCTGGTGTCTTTAAATGCGAATAGTTCCTCCAGTGTTTCCACGCAGGCTTTAGCCCTCGCAATATTCTGAACCCATAGTCATCATTACCAAGCTCGCTGTGTGACGATAAAACTTTTTATCTATTATGTCGAACTGTTACAGAATACATACTATTAAGTTCACGTAAAGGTTACACGTCATTGTTAGCAAAACTCTGACGATCTCGTCATGGAATGCTGACTAAACGATATTTTACGAAGACCTACATAAATTGATACATCTCTCAAAACTATTGCTTCGTTAAATACTAGTTTTGTCAAATATGAATATACCTCTACACAAACACGATATACAGGGATTCGTGCATAAAAGACAAATGAATGATGGTTGCACTATATCGAGCAACGTAACGATCAAAAGAGACAATTTATTATTAAAATTTGGAGTGGTTGTAAATCTTAACAAGAATGATGAGGAGAGAGAGTTAACAACGTTTAAATTTGAACTACAGCTACCGGTAAGTAATCATTATCTATCTTAAATAAAGACTTGTGTTCCTTGCAAAATTGTTATAAAGATAATGATGTGTTTTAGAATACTAGTTAATTTTGTCATATTATCATTTTATAACAAAAGGTCAAGGAGAGGTATCTCGTAATGCTGACTAGACATGAACTATATAGTTGTCTTGTTATTACTGGTAAAAGGTTCACGTGAACATCACGAATCGTGTTACTGAATGTATCGATGTTATGAAATGATGACTAGGCAATATGCAAATTATCACATGATGACCTTGGTTCTATAAATTTAGCGACAAGACCGGTTCTGTCACATGATGACCTTGGTTCTATAAATTTAGCGACAAGAGCGGTTCTGTCACACATCATTTTTGGCGCCTAATGAAAACGGAGTGTTTTAAAATAAGTGAGGAATCTAAAACCAACCAAGCATGGCCCAAGCTAGTTTATTTGGACAAGCGGAGAAGTTTGAATATATAAGGGAGACAGACGGTGAAAAAATACGGAAGCTGAGGTAGCAGAGTACAGTAGCGTACGGTGGCCATGGGTGATATTTTTATACAATGAATAACCCCTGTAATATAACATGTATCAAAATTAAAAAAAAATCAGCACTAAAATTGGCATATATATGATGAAGTGGACTATGTGGGCTTCATAATTTTTCAAAAAAAAAATTCGAATTTGGTTTGAGACTACAATTTTGGGCATTTACAAATCTGTGTCTACACAACAAAAGCTAGCTTTTCATGTAGTCTATTTTTGTACTCAGCACATGTGTAAATATTGTGAAAAATCCACCGGAATGACCTATGCTAAAACGTGAGTATTTCTGTTACCGAGTAGGCGATATTTAATTTCAGACAGGTTTTAAGAAAAACAATTCTACTTGCGGGGGTCAAATTCTGGGTTAAAAATCATGATTTTTTGCATATTTTGGTGTTTTTTGATGTGGTAACCATGGTTTTCAGAAGTCCCAAATCTGGGGAAATCACTTTTTGAAAAAAAAAATGTTCTTCTAAAAAACACCTATTAAAAATGTAGTTTATAAATATATATATATATGTAGGTGTGTTGTGCAGGATGAATCCGCTATCCATGTTTATCCGAGACATGCCCTTTATTTTTAGGGTCAAGCCATTTCTACTGTACTCTGCCACCTTATACACACAGACATTGATTTTTTCTGAAAAAAAGCCTTTTTATGCTTTATTCAGCTTCACTTTCATTCATTATTGCTTAAAACTACTCAAAACGTTTAAAAAGTTACATATAAAGGTCAATATATAGGTCACTAGCCTATTACCTGTGAATGTATAAAGAGGGGTTAACTCGCCCTTTTCACAGGCACTTCACACTTCATCACATATGTGTCAATTGTGTAATTGGTAAAGTTGATACCAAACAACAAATAATTAACAGGCTATCTCCTGATGCATTCAGACCAGATTTCAGTCTGTTTCACTTAGTTCAGCACCCGGTATCCATGGTAACTAACACATAAAGTTGTATTTATTGAAAATGGGTAAAATATCTGTTTTCATTCTAATTACACTATTTTATATGTTTTTTTCCACTTGATTCAGCTTACAGATTAAATTAACAAAGTCAATAATGTCAATAAATTTTATTTCCATAATTACAGCTGAAGAAAACTTTTTTTTCTAGTGAAATATGTAAAATGACCAATGTCTGGGGTCACTGTCAATTCTAGGCGAGGAAAGTAAACAACGGTTGCTATGGTGTCATTTGTCTGATGTTTCAGAATATCTGACAGTTTTGTGCTGTTCATCGGTTACGGGAAGTGTGTCTGTTTCTAGTTTGTTGTTGTGATGGGTTTCCTGGTATTCATTTTGATATCAGTGAGCCTTGATGATGTCACATATGCCCATTGATGACGTCATAGTTATGATGACATCACAGTAACTATGACGTCATCACACAAGACAGAAACATCCTTGTATCACTGTTCTGTTTTGTTTTTCACATGCACATGATCTTAAAGCATCATATTTTACCCCAAAAAAAAAATTATTCCTGAAAACTACAAAGTTATTCAAGTTTTAATTTTTCAGATTACCTCCCTTTGTTGGTAGTTTGAGAGCAGAATTGGTAAAAAATCACTTATCAGGAGAATTCATATTACTCGGTCACTTTTTAAGTGAGAAAGGAAACGGATACATCTTTTTGTTCATTGTTTCATTTTCCAGACATTTAAAAGGTTTTGATTAAATTTTTGGGAAAAAAAAGGGATGTATAATTATGGTAGCAGAGTACAGTAGCGTACGGTGTCCATGGGTGATATTTTTATACAATGAATAACCCCTGTAATATAACATGTATCAAAAATAAAAATAAAAAATCAGCACTAAAATTGGCATATCCATGATGAAGTGGACTATGTGGGCTTCATAATTTTTCAAAAAAAAAAATCGAATTTGGATTGAGACTACAATTTTGGGCATTTACAAATCTGTGTCTACACAACAAAAGCTAGCTTTTCATGTAGTCTATTTTTGTACTCAGCACATGTGTAAATATTGTGAAAAATCCACCGGAATGACCTATGCTAAAACGTGAGTATTTCTGTTACCGAGTAGGCGATATTTAATTTCAGACAGGTTTTAAGAAAAACAATTCTACTTGCGGGGGTCAAATTCTGGGTTAAAAATCATGATTTTTTGCATATTTTGGTGTTTTTTGATGTGGTAACCATGGTTTTCAGAAGTCCCAAATCTGGGGAAATCACTTTTTGAAAAAAAAAATGTTCTTCTAAAAAACAGCTTTTCAAAATGTAGTTTATAAATATATATATATATATATGTAGGTGTGTTGTGCAGGATGAATCCGCTATCCATGTTTATCCGAGACATGCCCTTTATTTTTAGGGTCAAGCCATTTCTACTGTACTCTGCCACCTGATGATGCCTAGCAACTCTGCACTAACTATTAATGTGACTTACTTTGAGAAGGCAGATAACTTTTTCGCGCACCTTAACAAAAAAAACCACGAAAAGGTATATTATCTCCCCCTTTCGTGGGAGGAGATAGACGAAGTAAAGATGGATATTAAAGACTTGTTCAGACCTCATTTAGAATGGCTAAAAGACGAAGTAAGTAGTGCCGTTATTACTACATGACTAATTATATATATATATATATATATATATGTATGTATTTATTTAAATATTTATATATATATATTCTTGCTATTGTTTGTACAGGCTAAACAAGAACCAGACGTGGTAAGTTGAAATAGTATCTATCATAATCTTATATTCCTATATCTTAATATTCCTATATCTTATTAATCATATCATAATCTTATATTCCTATATCTTAATATTCCTATATCTTATTAATCATATCATAATCTTTATCTTATTTTAGCCAGTGCCGGTTAAACAAGAAGTGGTAAGTTTAACCTTTTACATAGCATATCATAATCCTTTTTGGTTTAAAACGCTAACCTCTACATACTTATTACTCTCTTCTTTCGTCTCACTTCTTGTATGTTAACCTGTTTATTATATAGAGGATGATCCATATCAAAGGCAACGACTGAATCAACAGCAGCAGCTGCCACAACAAGAGTCGAAACAGCAACCACAGCAGCAGCTGCAGCAGCAGTCACTGGATGATTTTGCGTTTTATTAGATTTTTTTGAGGAACATTGTGATGATACTTGTGACATTGGAGTGTCACATTAACAGTTTTGTTGGGTTTTTTCTTTAATTAAATAATGTTAAATGTCTTGATAACAGTTTTCTATAACTATGCCGTGTTCTTAAAATATCTGAAATATATCATTGCCACAATGCTCCTCGACAGAAAGTAAAAACAAATCAAAGATATTTTTATATATTTTTTTATTATTTTCATGTACAATTATGCAATCTGTCTATACCATTTTGTAATCTGAACATATATATATATATATAACACAGTCTCATTTCGTTAGACCACGATGTTGTTAAACTGTTCAATCATCTACATACAATGAGCTATTTTGTAATTTCAAATACCAATTATTTTATAAATTACAGCAAAGCTTTCATCATCATGTAATATATTAAATGCTTTTATCATGAAGTAACTAATTGAATACATTGAAATCAGTAATGAACAAATTGTAATTAAAATAATATACATGAAAAATCATTCATAAAACAATTACAATAATGAAATAACGAAACAATTATGTACAATTCATAAAGATGCATGAACTTTATTTATAAGTCAAACGATCTAAGTTTCTAAATGAAAAAGCTACTAATTAAATTGGTGAAAGCTTAACAATGTCGTTTTTGTTTTGTAATGTCCAAAGGCATAGCTATCGTAGAGATTTGATAAGATCCACCGTTTGTCGTCAAACGCACTTAATCCAGATTTGTTGATGTTATACACGTATAACTGATGTCTATCGCTCCTAATGGAGTGCATTTCACACATTTTGTTTTGTTTGCCAAAGAGACATTCTTTGTACATCTCGTGACGTAAGTCGCGCTTTATGGTAGCTTTACCAATGCCTTTAGCTACCTGCTTCTCTTTGAAGAATTGATAGTGATTCTCATGTTTTGATACATAAAACTTTCTGGATTGGCATATCGAAAGCTATACAGTTTAGCACGAAGTCCTACAAACTCTACGATAGGTTTGCCTCCGGTTTCGTCTTTAAAATAACCGGGTATCTTTTTATTGGTCGAATCGTAACAGAAGTGCTCGATAGGATAATTTGACAAGTCAAACAAGTGTCTGTTTTCAAGCATGTCGACATAGATGTCGCTGCATTGCACGTGATAACAAAAACTGTCAGTGTCTGTGAATAATAATTTTATCCCGTCTCCATATTTCGGTTTGAGATATTTGTAGTAAAATTCGTACATGATACATTTTGAGAAATCTAAGATGACTTGACCTACGTAGACAGGTTTGTTTAACACTAGTTTTATTTTGGCGTTTTCTATGCCCGTCAAGTCCTCATTAAAAATGGTAAATCTTTGAAAAGAGGGTTTTGCACAGTATTTTTTAATTTTTTTGATCGTGTGAGCGAGTTTGATGTCGACCCTGTTGCGAACGTTTTCCATGGTCTTACCAAAGACGGCATTGTTCATCAATTTAAAAAAGTCTTTTTCGAAATCATTCTTGGAGACCGTTCTTTTTGTAGTATTGAAATCGATGTACTTTTTAAGCCAAGAAACTTGCCTATATTCTAACACTCTATGAATCTTGATTAGTTTCATTCCTAGCTCTAAGTACAGCTGTAAGTTTCTATAGTGACAGATGTATTTCGTTTTGTTTTCTAAATTGGGAACCAGTTTAGGGGTGGCAATGCGTCATACAGCCCAGACTCTGTATGTTTGCCGCTTGGGTATAGCTCTCTCCACAGTGCTTTGCTTGTGGGAGATAACTCCTCGTCAGAGACAGTTTTACGCTCGGGAGCCAAAGGGTACTCGCTCATTAGATCGTGATCGCTTTCGCCCACCTCTAAATCGACATCTAGTATATATCCCAAGTCACCCTCTTTAGGTATAGACGATAGGTCAAACTCTTCCTCAACCCAACGAAAATCCCCACGGGCAACGGTTCTGACATGGCTTTGCCGTATACATGATATACGAGTCGGGATGGGAGGGATCATACGATTCGGGAATGTAGGGATTGTTGGCTTTTGCATACTTGTTGGAAACCATAGAAACACCTCCCCTGACTCCGCTCTCGAAAAACAGGTACATGTCTGGGTCTGTGAGTAATTCTAAACGAACGTCTGTCATTTTCAAAGCCGCTTGCCATGCTAGACCGGGTGCAGTGTAAAAGTGAGCGGCGTCTAGTCCATAATAATTTAGACACATGGTTCGGAAATTTTCAAACACGTCGGCTAAGAGTAATACGTCCGTTTTGAGATAAAGATCGTGGTATTGACCTAGATTTTGAATGTTTAGTTGTTTCCAAACGTTTTGTGCATGATCGTAGTATTTTTGGGAAATGTGAGATTTACTCAACTGACTGTAGAAACATTCCAAGGGTGGTAACTGTGTTTCATCAAATTTATCACTACGGTCAACGTATTCGTATGGATAGACACCCTTTCTGAGCAATATTTCCGGTCTATCAAATTCTTTTACAAAATGTTTGAATTTAGACAACCCTTCCTTAGCAAGGTTTTCGGTAAGAGATTCCAGACTCTGTGACATGAATTGAAAGGAGTCGATGAAGCGTAGATCGCCCAGACTAAACGAAATGTATTTTTCCATGTTGGTGGGTATACATGTAATGTTGTGGTCTTTAAATAAACCCACGGTTTCACACAAAATGTGAGCATCAAACCCTTTTAGATTATGAAATATGACGGGAACGAAAGGGGGATATTTAAAGTTGAGGTTACATTTGTTATGTGCTGCCCCTCGAAATTTCCCCGTAATATGACAATGGTCGCGCACTTTTAGATCTGTCTCGTTAAAAGGCATGTTACAAATATGACATTTATAGCTAGACTGAAACACTCGCTCGTCTTCGTGTGACATGTTTAACGGTTCTATGTGATTGCGTAAGATGTCTTCAATGATTTGTTCTAAAAATGTCTTGCTAACATTAGGACCTCTATAAATGACGGGAGATTTAGTATGGGTATCGTTAACACAAACGACTTGATATCCAAACCCGCAAGGCTCGAATTTGGTTTGTTTCGTAGTACTAGAGGATTTAGGATCGGGAAGACACGTGTCCATTTTTTGTGCAAAGGCCTCGAAATCTGCATATATGACAAAGGGGACTTGTAGTTGTTTTGTAAAATCTTTGAACTCTAACTCGCTGTGTTTCTCGTCAGGGAATTCCACGTGTTGAGGATCGTGTTTGGAGCAGTGTTCGATATGACTCTGTAACAGATCTTCACGACTAAAACCTTGAAGACAGTAATGGCAGAAATAAGTTTTATGCTCACGCTTTTTTGTTCTCGCCAAGAAAGCGTTTAAGTTGGGAATGAGGCAGAAATGGGTGTTTTTGTTTTCCTGAAGGTAGAGTAAATTGACTGTATGACTTGCCTGCCTTATTTTCGTAACGTATAAGGGAAAAATCGCTTTACTCTCACATCCAAACACATTCACAGAAATGCAGTTTTGTTTTTCAAATTTATTAATTTGAGATATGTAGACGGGATAGGTTATGTCAGTCATGTCAAGGTCATTTTGATATCTTTCGTAATGGGACACATGCTCGGGAAAATCACGAATGGGATGGAGCGAAGCCAAAACGGACCACAAAAAACATTTCTGATCGTTGTTGACGATATTGACTATACCATTTTCCCTAAGAGTGGTTGGGATAGGTATGTATGAAGAACCAGATAGAGGTGAGTAATTTACGATACTTACGCTTAATTTCAGTACTCTTTTTAAAATCCAACTAGATCCTTTATGAATGTATTCCTCAAATGAAGCAAACATTTTCTGAAACGAAGCGTTCAATTCACTATCAGAAAAACTGTTATTTGGCATGTAAATGTAATTGTTACTTCTAAAATGAGAAAAGGATTGTTGCACGTTACCGTCCTTGTCTGTCTTTTCGAATTCCACATGGACACATAAATACCACTTGATTCCACTCAAAGTCTGGCATGAGTGTTTCAAATGATTCATTATTTCCTCTTGAGTATTGGAAAAAAATGCCAATAAATCCATACGATCGTTATCATTAGGATAAATACTCCTTACGTTTGCAGATCCATTTAGACTGCTTTCATCCGAAAACTGATGTGTATGATTTGTTGTAGGTGGTTCCAGCGGCGTCTCCACTTCCGCTGCAACTTCCGGAGATGGCTCTACATCCTGCGGCAGAGATTCCAACGAAGACTCCGACGGCGACTCCACATCCGACGAGGACTCCACATCCTGCGGCGGCGGTTCCACATCCGGCGGCGGTTCCACATCTAACGGCGGTTCTACATCCGGCGAGGACTCCACATCCAGCGACGGTTCCGGCGAGTGCGAACCGTTACCTGTCTGGTTTCTAATAGGTGATTCTGGAGATGTCAGTTCTACTTCAGGCAGCGGGTCTGGTGACTGTACATGTGACGGTCCTGCAATCGGCGACGGAGTGTGATGAGTGTTTGTTGAATGCTTGTGAGCATTTCTGCGATGCTCTTTTAGGCTCTGTTTTGAGGAATATGTTTTACCACAATCCTCACGTGATACTTTTTGTTTATTACCGTGAACGAGTTCTACATGACGTCTTAGATTGTTTGCTCTCTTGCATGTTTTCCCACATACATCACACGTTAGTTGAGCAGAATGTTCCTTCATATGTCTCCTGTATACACAACTGTTAGAAAATTGTCGTCCACATTCACTACATTGATAAGTCTTAGATGGATCCTTTGTTTGGTTTGTTAATTCATCTTTCCTTTGTTTTTTGTTTGGTGATACATCTAGACTGTTCAGTTTTCGTTTTAACTCCATCAACTGTTTTTTGGCGTCTTCGTCTCCCCGCGCAAATTTTTCAAGAAGTTCAGATAAAAATCCACTCTCCATGGTTGTGTCTCCGTCTGCTTTATGACAGCTTTAGTCTACATACCTGAATTTATATGTTGCACTCTTTTTATTAGCGCATGCTCAGTTCTCATATTTTAAAGGATAGCCACTTACGCTTAGTGTTCTGTATGAATTGCGTTGGCGTCTCTCTGATATACAATCGTCCACCTTTTTGACCTTTGTGTTGACCTTTGTTTCGACGTGTACTACGTCTGACCTTTTCTTGACCGCTAGACTTTTTAGTGATAACCTTTGATTGACTGTCGAGCTTTTCAGTGGTGCCCTTTGTTTGATCGTCACTGGCCTCTGCCTGACTCTTTCCATTGACGACCTTTGGTTGACCGTCACTGACCTCTGCTTGACCGCTAGTCTTTTTAGTGGTCTCATTGTTGTCAGTTTTATTGTTCTCACCGTCTGCTGTTGTCTCGTCTGCTTCTGTCAACAGTTGCTTATATTTTGCTTTTGGTATTAAATCTAATTCCCTTGCCATTTCAAGTAGTTCATAAAAAATATGGGTAATATCTTGTTCAATGCTAACAATCTCTGCCGTCGCTGACGTCGACTTATTCCTTCGTCTAACACTTTACGTTCCATTTCACGTTGTTTGCATAAGCATTTTCCTTGCCTTTTGTCACATCTTGGTAATATTTTAACCACTTCCCTACGTTAGGGACGTACATCTTTGAAACATTCATGCTAAGAATGGAAACTGCTTAAAATGAAGTGTAACCGTCGCTCGTCCTTTAAGAAATGAAACAGGGTCATCTTTGCCGGTCTTTATATTGATTTCTATGTCTCTGATTTCAGTTTTTCTCACTCGAACGTAGAATGGATTGTCGAATGTCTGTGACCAGTTACCTACTTTCAACGCTCTCACCACTCGAAGAAGGTTTTCCTTTTCTCCATCGACAAAAGTTTCACCGCATACGTCGCTGTGTAAGTAAATATTTTGTTTCGTCTTCGATATAGCTGGTGGTAGGGTTATATCTACTAGTGCTACTTTCCATACCCCCTCAAGATTTAGCAAGGATTGAAAGTGTGATCGAAACTGTGCAATATTGTTTTCGGGAAAATAGGGTTGACTCCTATCACTGTGAATTACTACGTAGTGTGACATCTTACGTACTCGTGATGTCTTTGATATCTTTTTCAATAATCCACTGGTTATATCGTGAAGGCCAACCTTCGAATTTTACAAGCCATTCGATCTGTCCACGTCTCTTACGCTTCTTTAGTTTTGTTTCGATGTACCATAATGCATTTTCGTCCTTGTCTACTCTTTGTAGTTCAGACTGGTAAAAGTTTCCTTTAATGTCCTCGTTTTAAAAGTCGACCAGTTGATATTGCGGAATGCCTTGTAGTAGAAATCGTCTGCTCACTTTAAAAATGTCGGAAGACCATTGTTGTTGATAAGCTCTAGTGAAAGGTTGCTTTAAATGAGATATTCTCGCGAGACTTCCAATCTTTAGTCTAAAAGGGTTACCTTTTTTTACCTTTAGTCTAAAAGGGTTACCTTTTTTTACCTTTTGTTTTACTGGCTTCATCTTCTTAAGATACAAATAGGCAAATACATCGGCTTTATTGGAATCGTTTACGTCTCTTGGCGGTAGCCCATTTAAGGATCTATGTGGTGTGGTGTTGTAATGCCCGACAAAATCTTGTAATTTGCCGATGTATTGATAAGTTCTATATTTTGTAAAATATCTGTACATCATCGTCTTAAGCGTTCTGATTACCCTTTCTGCATAGTTAGCTTTTGTCTCATTCTGGCTGGTGAAATAGTGAACGTCATGTGTTTGACACCATTGTTTCATTAATCTGTTGTTTATCTCTCCACCTTTGTCGATGCGAATGCGCTTTGGTATTTTACCTCTTTCAATAATTTTTTTAAATGCTTCTAATACATCTCTGGCTGTTTTTGTCATTACAGGTTCGATCCATAAGAAACGAGTGAACACGTCAATAACGACAAGGAGAAAGCGATAACCAGAATTCTGCTTTGAGAGGGAGGAAACGTCTGCAAGATCTACATCGTATTGCTCATAAGGACCGGAAACTTCTACTCGCGCTCTCTTAAATGAACGCCTTGGAGGTTTCTGTAAACTGTAATCATCGAGACTTTGGATATAACGTCTAATCTTATAAAGACCTGGTGATTTAAATCCTTGTGATTTCAATATCTGATGTACTTTCGTGGGACTGAGAAATGCACCGCCGTTCTTAAAGTCGTAATATACCGCGTCTACACGACGCTTCTCCTCTGCTGTTAACATAATGATAATGAGACAAAAAATATATATACATAATCTTTTATTACAAATAAAAATATTTTACAGTGTTTTGTTTTTGATCTTATTCTCTAAACGAATCATGGACATGATCATCTGACTGACTTAATCTCTCCATTTCTGTGTTTTGAGTTCATTGGCTCTCCATTCAGCGTTACATAACTGTGATATGGAGACATTCCTCACACATCTTGGAATTCTCGAGTTTGCAGTTTCTCGAATGAAGTCGCGTATCACTTTTATATCATCCACATTTTCCATGGCATCCTTTATACAACATTGTCGTCCTTCTGCTATTTTCATAGCATGGTATGCATACACTAGTTTTACAAGGTTATCCATTCTGATGCAATCTGTAGAATTCATAACCAGTCTAACCTTTTTGTATGAGCTAGGTATGACAATCAATGCACTCTACGGAATGGTTTTCACAATATTTAAATGTTTTACCACATCTATAACAGGTAACGTAATGATCAAAACCTTCGTAATAGAATCCGTCATTAGCTAGTTGGTATGGATAAAGTTTACATGGCCACCGTAAGAACGTCAGTAGTCGATCCGTATGGCTTGCCATGTGTTTTTGAAAAATGTCTTTACGATCCATCTTTATATAAACAGCCGACTTTCGTCAACACCTATCTTCTTGACGTATTTCTTTATCTTTGCACTGTAGTGTTCGATAACGTAAGCACCATTGCGCAGTCGTCGGTCTTGTATGAGACATTGTAACGATCTAGAAGGGATACACGATTGTAGGGCAGATTCATACCAAGTCTTTTCCACTTCTAAATGATTAACAAAAGTTAATGCTTCGTTTAAATGTAAATCTACCCTATCGTCATAGGAAAGCATCACACAACTATGCCCCAGTTGATTGGCTAGCCCTTCTTCGCATCCAGCACATACGAACAGTTCGGTAATCTTAGATCTGACAACATATGCATAAGACAGACACCTCAGATTTTTTAATATTCTTCTATTGGTCCTTTCTTCGATTTCTTCGAATAAATAGTCATGCAGTCTTTTCTGAATCAAATTAACGTCTGTCATGTTTAGATAACAAACATCATACTAAGTAAAAGACAGTTTTTAGACCATCTTAGGTGTTCTGTTGTGATATCGTCGAAATAGTTCCAATGTTTTAACGAAACACAACACTTGAAACAAGTGGCGCAGTTGATAGGGTGATTGATGATGTTTTTTTGGCCAGTTAGTAAATGTATCTATTCTGTTACAACATCTGATTAACGATGGATGATGAGGTTGTATCACGTTTAAGGTGTGGCAAACACTGTCGGTTTCACATGCCATTTTCCGTAAATGAATAAACGTACTGAAGGCTCTCCGATTGAAACAGCAGTTTTTTTAAAAAGTCACCTGTGATTTGTAAACTCTTTTTTTCCTCACGTAAACAAACTTTCACTTCTCCCTTGACTTTCTTAACGACGACTTGTTGTGTTAATCATATACGACAGGTAATACTGCTAGCGGAAACTTCATAGATATCGATGTTTCCGGCACTGACGAGGTCGATCTGTTTCTGAGCGATGTGTTACTACTGAAACCTCAGGTAAACCAGCGACTTTTATAGAACCTGTAATGTGACCTCAATGTGACCTTAGAAAAATGTGTTTTACGAAAAGTGAGGATCGTACATTTTTGGCCTCATGAAAAGTGAGGTTCGTACATTTTCTGCCTCACGGGCCTCACGAAAAGTGATGTTCGTGAGGCCTTACGGTCCTCACGATAAGTGAGGTTCGTGAGGTTTTTGGCCTCACGGGCCTCACGATAAGTGAGATTCGTGAGGTTTTCGGCCTCATGGGCCTCACGATAAGTGAGATTCGTGAGGTTTTCGGCCTCACGGGCTTCACTTTTCGTGAGGCCCGTGAGGTTTTATACCGGCCTTTTACATCTACTAATGTAGCGGAACTGGACTGGGTCGATCGTCGGCGACCAAATAGCTCAATTAGTTGAGCGTCTGTCTAGAGTTCGGAAGGTTCCGGGTTCGAACCCCGGTCTGGCCGTGCATTTTTCCTCCTGTTACATCATGGGAAATTGCTGCATCCCATCCTAAAATGAGGTCACTGTGAAATGGATTTTACCGTTGACCTTGACCTCAAGTACTAATGGCTGATTACTGGTGTATATCGTGATGCTGTTTCATGAATGGGCATACATGTACAACTTTGAATAATGGTACAACATGGGAAAGCAGTGTGTCTGGCCATCCTAAAACAAGGCCACCGTGACATGGATTTGATCTTTTACCTTGATTATAAGTACTAAGATCATTGCCTTTGGAGCCACTGTATGATGAAGGTATATCATAGGCATGCAATGTCTTCAATCTTAAAATACGATCAATTTGACCTGGATTTGACCTTTGATATTGACGTCAAGAAATGAAATAATGGTCTCTGAAGTCTGTATATTGGCCCCTATTTCATAGATGCACATCAAACTTAAATGCAAATGGAAGCTACATAAAATCCCTAATTATACCCCCGCAATGAAGTTTAAGGGGGGGGGGGGGGGGGGAAAACCTGGAATCCCCCTGTCTTGGTGTCTGGGTGTCTGGATGTCATCCACAGTAACTTGTCCAGAAAACTCCTCCTTAACTGACAGGTGGATTTCATGGAATCTTTGCATGAATGATTGGTATCTTATGTAGGTGTGTCCCAGCATTTTTATTTGGGCTTTCAACCCTTTTTGATGGAGTTATGCCCCTTTGTGCGCAATCCTTGTTTTATTTACCCAAACCTCTTGGTTATATAGTGGAGAGCTTATCATGCTGGTCCCTAGAATTGGAGGAGATATCTGCATTACATCTTTCTATTGAAAGAGATATCTGCATTACAACTTTCTATTGGAGGAGATATGTGCATTACATCTTTCTATTTGAGGAGATATCTGCATTACAACTTTCTATTGGAGGAGATATCTGTATTACATCTTTCTATTGGAGGAGATATCTGCATTACATCTTTCAGTAAAACAGTTGCGCTATAAGTAATCCCGCTGACAATTTTTGACATCGCAATAAAATTCCTCAAGGATAAAATCTATACCTTTGATGAAAATCCAGTCTTCCACTTGTACTTATAAGTGTACATCTTTTAAACAAATCATGAACAGCTTGTGGCATAAAATGGCAGTACATCTCGTTATATTATATGAACAAATCGGATACATTGAATGCTTCCTGCCAAACGTATATTCAATCTTTGAAATGTGACGTTTTTTTAAAATTAAATCGTTAGTTGCCCTGACCTCTCGTCGAAACATGAATTTACTTTCAAGATATCTCGACACATTGAAAAGAAATTGAAGAATTTACATCAGTGAAAATAATCGATCCCGACATCTTCCCGAAACACTGGTTGTAACCCTGAATACAAGCACACCTAGACATGTACCTATACATGTACGTTATAGTCTGTATATGAGAAAGATGTCTTTATTTGCTCATTATTCATACCGCCAGATATAGAGCGGCGTATTACAGGGAGGGTTAACAATGGAGATTAATTCTATGATCTTGAAAAAGAAAAAGGCTGTATTCTCTCCGGAAGGCAAAGTTATTTAAGTTGGTGACTTTAACGGTAGATGTTAAAAATGATTTGTTGGATCAGGATGACGTGAGTGATGACATTTTTTATATTTAACTGTCTGACATATATACATGACTTATGTACATTTACCCTCATGAGTGTATCCCGATAGGGTAGTTAACTCTTTTGGTCTGAAGTTGCTACAATTATGTGTATATTCCAGCTTACGGATCTTAAATGGTAGACAATCCGATGGTTACCCCAACGCATATACCTACTGTGGTCCTACGGGTTGTAGCGTAAAAGATTATATAGAAACAACGCCTGATGTTTTTCAGTGTATCACTAAATTTGTAACTTGTGGGTTGAATACATTTTTCTGACCACGCACCTCTACATTTTGTACTCAGTTGTACTCTAATTGATAGTAACAGTGCTCAGGAATCAACATATGTAAACAAGTATCGTACACGTGATAGCTATATAGTTTCGCTAGAACCCAGACAATGCTAAAGAAAGTATTAGGGTGATTTTTGATAATATTGATTCCATTAACATTTGTGTTAAAGAGAACGATTTATCAACTGATATCGGTATTGAGAAGTGTTTTAACTCATTTGTAGATACTGTGAAAACCCATATGTTACCTTTTCATTCATATCAGCCCCTTCTAGGCAAGGGGGTCAACCTAATATATCATGTGAAAAACCTTGGTTTAACAACCAGTGCAAGATGTTTTATAGGCGATATACAAATGTTTTGAAAAGATTTAAATTATTCCTGATCTCCAGAAAATCATGACTTACTTATTTCATGTTAGAGTTTGTATTGCTCTACTGAGCAAAAGTTAAAGCGATCATATTTAAAAGAACAAGGTAATATGATGGATTTGTTGAGAGTGAGCAACCCGAAATTATTTTATAAGAACTTTAAATAGAAATAAAAAGTGAAACCAAACGCAAGTCTCAATGACTTTCATACTTATTTTAATCATTTGGCTGGTGAATGAGATAATAACTAATGACGGTAATTTTGTTTATGATGATGACGTATTATTTGTTGAACTGAACTTAATTTTCAGAAATTGAAACGGCAATTACGAAACTTAAAAGGGAGGCAAGTCATGGGTCGGACCAGATTTTTAATGATTTTTTTTATTGAAGCTAATCATGTGTTTCTTCCTCTTCTTCACAAGATGTTCAATGCTGTGTTTAGAGTGGGCTATTTCCCTAAAGTATCGTTAGAGGCTTTAATTGTACCGGTTTTTAAAAAGGGTGACACGACTGATCCAGGTAACTATCGAGGTATAAGCCTTTTTCTTCTCTCGAGGCACTAAGTGGATAGATAAACAAGTTGGGCATTCTATTTCTTAGCTTCTTTGGGGTCTTTAGGAGTCTAGTTGCTTCCCCGAGTCTTGCAACTTTCCTGGTTTCTTCGGAGTCTAGTAAATTTTTAAATAATATTCTATTCTTA